TTGAAGGATTTCTCAAATAATTCTGACTGCTGTTTCGAAGATCTTGAGGTTAATCTGATCCTCTGTTTGACCTCTGACAAACATGAGTTTTGGCATGGCTGTGAAACATCCAGTCATACGGTGTGTTTACTAAGTTGCTGAGGTTAATCCAAGCAGATGTGGTGTTTAAGTTGTGGCTGCTCAGAGATCCTGTAGCTACTTTTTCTCTATTAGCCAAAATATTGTAAAATATGGTTGGCATTTTCTTCATTAAAAATATTGAAGGCTCACACATTGGGCCACTGTTAGAGCTGCACAGGTTCCTAACAGCAAACTCTTCCAGGGTGTCTGGTGAAACAGAGTGCATCAGTGTTGCAAAAATTGTTAAACGAATGTAAATGTTTGAGGTTGCATGTGTGAGCTGAATTTTGTGATGGTGCTGTAAGGAACCTACACCAAGTCAGAGCAATGTGGAAAACAGTGCTGTGCAGTGAGCTCTGCAGCTGGAGTCTGGCAGGTAGGCTCCTGGAGCTTTTGGTCTCTGCTATTGATTGACTTTCAGAGAGTTTTACTGAGTTACTTATAACTTTTATACTTGGAGAAAAAATTAATAGTTGACTACATCTGCAAGGAAGTGAGATATCTTCAGTGGAATTTGTCAGGATTAGAGAGGAATATTTTGCTCTTGGTGTTTCTGGCATTATGTCATGCAAACTCAGTTCTTCCTGAGGCTTTGTCAAAGTGAGAAAACCATCAGGCAATAAATATGGCAGTCAGAATAGAGAGAGAGAGAGAAGGGAGAGTCTGAAAGTCAGAATATCTGGTTAGAAATATACGGAATGCTGTGGATTGCTATATAGATATATTTTGAGCAGATACTGGGGGCAGCTTCTAAATACATGCATTTTTCTCTTTCTTGGTCACTCTGCCTCCAGAATGGACCATAACTTCCTGATGGAGGAGATGCTGCCACCTCAAATGATTTGTGTTTGTCTGGGTTATGGATCCTGTTCATCTGTTCTCATTGGATTCTGAAGTATCCCACTGCAAGCAGCTGTAAACCCCATGTATTGCTAGGATGCTGTGTGTGTTAACAAGGGCTTGTAAAATATCTCAAGATATGGTTGTATGTCTATTTATTATTTGTTGTGAAAGCTCCTGTGTTACTGAGAGGAATTGTCTTCCGCTCATTTTGAATCTTGACTCGCTACGTTTGTTTTTTGGAGGATTGTTTGAGGTATTTTGGGAGCTCTCTTTTGACAGCTGTGTTGCATTTCACCCCTCCATTTCTGAAAAGCTTTAGCCCCCTCAAATGTAGTCTGAGTTATCTTGAGGAGCTGTATTATCTTAAAATCACAGAACCACCGAAGTTGGAAAAGACCTCCAAATCATCCAGTCCAACCACCCAGCTTCCACCAATATTTCCCCACTAACCCATGTCCCTTAGTAGAGCATTGGAATGTTTTCTGAACACCTCCAGGGATGGTGACTCCACCACCTTCCCGGACAGCCCCTTCTACCACCTGCCTGCTCTGAATCTCCCTTAGCACAACTTGGGGCTGTTCCTCTAGTCCTATTGCTAGTTCTGTGATAGAGAAAGAGAGAGACTGATTCATAATACATATTATGAAGTGTTTCTTGTTATGTTTAAATTGTAGTTTTAGGGGGTAACAATTTTTGTTTGCATTTGATTTAATAGAAAGCACAGAATTGTAGGAATTGCAAGGGACCTCTGCAGAGCATCTAGTCCAGCCCTCTGCCTAAGCAGATTCCCTATAGTAATTAAATTTCAGAAGTAGTTCATATTTTTACTATCCAAATTGCAATTTAATGGTGACTGAATTGAATGTTACTGTATTATTAGCATAAATAAAATAAGAAAAATATTGTGGTGAGCATGTAGACAAGGAGAAGGCCAAGGGAAAGATGAAGGCCTGTGTGGCAGTTGTCCCTGTGACTGCCTCTTCTCTTCTCTCTGGAGCACCTCAGTTATTTTGGCCATAGTATTTTGAAACAAGTGAAGCTTGGCTTGTTGAGGAAGGCAGGGATGTACTGATGCAATTGAATGCATGTGAGTGTAGGGCTGGAGAGGGTCTCCTGGCTCCTCAGGGTGGGGCCCATGCAGAACCTTGTGTATAATGCTTGAAAAGTTAGTAGAAATGGTTGAAATCCATAGGAAGCCAGTTGTGTAAATGCTCATGTGTTGGTAAATAAGGTAAACTACTCAACCCTGCTTTCCTTTTGCAGACAGTGTTTGTTTTTTTCCAATCTGCCTTCAAAGCTAAGTCTCTAACAGAACGTTTGGAACTCAGAGGAAATAAATAATGGCTTTGTATTTTCCTGCCAAATGTATTACCAAATGTCTTGGTTGAATAGCAAGCTACTGAAAGGGCCTCGTTTCTGCATTGTGGAGGTTCTGTCACTTATTTTAAATGCAATTTTTCAACCTTTGTGTCTTCTCACAAAGCTGCAAAACAGCAAAGGAAGGGAAAGGAAAGTGAAGCAGTTCTGCCCTGGGAAAGAACACGTGGAATAATATCACACTCAGGTTTGTGCTTGTTGTAAGAGCAACCTGGCAGCTCTCCAAGTGTGATCTTCAGGCTGGCCAGAGGGCTTTCTGGAGATGGAAGGGATGGACGTGATCTTTTCACTCTGGTGATCACTCGTTTATCTCTTCCTTTTTCACCCGAATGTCTGATCTTGGGTATGGCAAACTTTGTGTCTGGATTTGCTTCCGTAGCAGCACAGGCTGTGAGTGTTAAAACAGATCAGAGAAGATGAGGAGAAGCTTGTTCCATCATGAATTCTGCTTTGTGTCCTGTATTCCTACTGTTATCTAGGATAGCAAGGGTAAGATCTGGTTCTCCTGTCCAAACCTCAGTGTGGATATACCCTTACATAGCTCTGAAATGACAAGGTTGCTTCTGCTGCAGGAATTGCTATCTTATTCAAACAGCTCTGTTCCACAGCGTAAGTACATGTGTCACAACGTGGGATTGTACATCTGTGTTACCATAGCAAATGGAAAAACAACTCCTGCAGGTTTTGTGCAGCAGTATTAGGCTTGGACAAGTCTTGCAGCAGATGACCTTCTTGTGGCTGTGCTAGAAAAAACTGGCAAGTACCCAGATCTTCGAGGATAAGTATTAATTGTCTGCAGACTGTCTGGCAAGAAGAGTAAATGTGATGCAACGATAATAGCTGTGTATGTAATCCTGCTTCTTCGCATCTCCAGTGCTTTTTCAGTCTGGATTTGCTTTATTGTATGGTAATTGACCACTGTTAAGACATGATATCCGATAAGATATTGGAGTCTGGTGTTCTGCATCTCTCTAGCTGCTAAACCCATCCTGTTAGCTAGAATGAGGGTTTGGTTTTTGTTTTTTTTGTTTTTTTTTTTTTGTTTTTTTTTTTTGGAATCACTTATGCCCCAGAGCATTTGTTGCCTGACTGATTTCATGGCCTGCTGGTTAAGCAGTGGGATTTGTGTATGGCAGCGTTAGAGCCTGTTTCACAGAGCATGCAATTTGTCTGCTTGCACGGAATCAGTTTGAGATTTAAACCCTGTTTAAGACCTTTTTAAGCTCCTTGGGTTTAACTGTCGCATAGTTTTTTTTTTTTTTTTTTTTTTGCCTTACGGAAGTGAGGGAGTTTGACTTGGTAAGAATAACAGGTAAATTGTTTTTTGAGGAGGCTTTTTGCTTCATTCTGTGTTATGGAAGTGTTCTCTTTAGGGCTCAGAATTACACTGCCAAAATGAGTGGGATCTTTATAGGTTTCCTTGGGATCGTAGTGCCTTCTGCCTCTGTTTAGGAGTTTTCTGTATTGAGAAGGGAATATTGTCTGTGCTTGTAACTGTTGTTAAGGTTTGTTCTTTGCCAGCCTGACCTGAGGACTGCTCTTAGTTTCCAACTCCTTGAGAAGCCTGAGAAATACATTAACATAAACTCTTGATCCTCCTCCCGCCCCAATCCTCAGTATTTTGTTTTCTTCATACAAATGTTTTGCTAATTAAATATGTGGCTAAATATTTTCTTGACTTATTGCTACCATGCTAATAATTCACTGTGTTTAGATAAGGATGAGAGAATTCTAATTCTTTCAGGGTTTATAGTTTCTGAAGTTTAGGAACCAAGCCTTGTTTAGACAGGAGAGTCTCCAAACAGTTTACCTGATTCTCCAGGGCTGTAAATAAAACTTTATCACCAGTTTCACATGCTTTGTTCCAGGGGTTTGCTCACCTGAGTAACTGCCAATAGACTTTGGGCAAGTGGTATTAGTGGTGGGATGCCTACAGGAAAACTCTGGGCTGGTTTGCTTCCTTTCAGTTTCAGGTGGGCATCTCCAAGGAGGATGGAATCTATTCCAGAGTCTGCAGATGCCTTTAGGGAGCCAGTGAATTTCCCTGGAGGCTTTTATTCTTGTGCTACTCTCTCTTTGCTACTTTTGTTTCTGGAGAGAGTCTGTAAGTGTTGCTATGTCACTGACTTGGTACTGTGTCTTAGCTACATTGCACTCTGATTTCTGGGGTGCTCATGATGGTTGGTGTTCTTAAATTTGGAATGAAGGAGTTAACTGCATTGGTTTTTGAGTCTGTGTTCTCTCATTCCACATTTCAAGATAGGAACTGAAAGCAGGAACGAATTCTTTGTATCTGGTATGTACTTAAATACTGATTTGGTTAAATGAATGTAGGCAGATGAAGAACATGCTGTGGTGGAAGAAAGATAATTATGTAACTGCTCTGCGAGAATTAATTGCTCACCTTTAAGCACTGTGTGTCACTTGGTTGTTAGTGATTGTTTGCTTCGTGTTTCAAAGCAGTAATGGCCACACATGTTGGTCAACTGTAGTCACGCCTCTTGAATGGGAAAGTGAAGAGGCATTTCATTCTTCAGGTCCGCTGTTAGTGTTACAAAGTTATTTAATGGAACAGTAATGGATAGAATGAACTTCAATAATGTATAAGCCTAAGGAGTGAACAGGCAGTGCTCTCAAAATGCGTTTTTATTCTCTTTCAGGTAATTGAGAATGGGTCCTCAACGATGCTGAGTGTACAATGGGAAGCGTCACGCTCCGCTATTTCTGTTATGGGTGCCTTTTCACATCGGTGACCTGGACACTTCTGCTCTTTGTTTATTTCAACTTCAGTGAAGAGAACCAATCCTTCAAGAATGTGCCCGTCAAGGGGCTAGAACCTCAGAAGCCATTTCCAAAAAAATTCTACCCCCGTTTCACTCGAGGGCCAGTTAACGTACCTGAATTGCAGCAGAAAGAGAGTAAATTTAGAAATCCTATTGGAAATCATGTCCAGGACCCAGTAAAGGGAGAGGGAGACTTCTCTCCTGAAATGGGTGAGTGCCTTTTAGTGTGGGTGACAAAAGAATAGAAAGAGAAAATGAAAATTGTCAGTTTGTTCAAAGAATTTCAGGGTAAAACCGTATAGTAAGGTAGCTTTGGTGTTAAATGTAGGTGGTACAAGTGGCTCTCTTAATTAAGAGTTATTTGAAATTTTATTTTGTTGTGTATAATCCAAAATATACTATTTCTAACAGTTATAATTCTGCTGTGTAAGTGTTAACAGGGAGTGGATTACACCAAGATGTCTGCCCTTGATGTGGTTCTTGACTGATTGATTTATTTTTTAGAAGGTTCAGGATATATGTCTTTCATGTCTTGCTTCTGTATTGATTGGGCTCAAATACATGAACTTTAATTAACCACAGAGAAGCTCTGATCTTATGCAGCTGTTAAAAGCAGCTCGATAGCAATACATAATGAAGAAGACCATTGATATGGAGAATATTCTTGGAGTATGAAATAGCCTAAAAAAAAAAATGTGGGATGGCAAAATTACAATGTAAGATTAATCGAAATGATGGTGATGGTTGTCAAAACCTGCTTATTTTGTACCAACAAAAATCTGTATGTTCCCTTGGAGCATATTTCATCAGTGAGATTAGGTTTGTGTTCCAAACTAAAATGCTTGGTGTTTTCTGCTGTATTTGAATATGCATTGACTATTAGCCTACGAACTTGCTTTAAGTCTGGTACGTATTGAGTGTTTTAATATCTACTGCTTTTTGGGGAATTGTGTCAAAGTACCTTCCATAGCCTGGAGCTTAACACTTATATCCAACTGAACTCTTTCATTATTACTGCATCATTAGCTGTAAAAGTCTGTAGACCTTTAACAAACTTGTATGATAGGCTTGTGCTCGTATGTAGAAAAACACCTTCCAAAACAGAAATGCCAATTTGCGTTGCCTTGTGGCATTACAAATGTTTATCAATTCATTGCAAAAGCCACGAGAGCCAAAGGAGGTGAAAGCCAGCCCAGAGGTGCCATTTCTTTCCAACTATTCAGTGCTGGCCAGGAAAGAAATTGGAGCTTTTCAACTGAGGAGTCTCTTGATCTTCAAACAGAGTGACTAGTTTGGTTGGTGAAAGCCAAGGGGATTTGTGGTGCCAGGATAAGCTCTACATGAATAATGAGGAGACAGCTGGCTCTGTTTGAGTTAGGTCAGGTGCTGCAGGAAGGGGCTTCATGCCTCTCTGGGGTAGGGCAATGATAAACATGCAAAGAAAAAAAAAAACCCACACCAAAACCCAACAACAGAAGGATTGGCATGTGATAGCTGAAAACACTGATCTGGTAATCTGTTTTTTCTTTGCAAACTTATGAAATCCACATAACACTGCTGAAGTCGATCCTGAGCTGATGTTTCCATTGCAAATCTTCTTTTCCAAAGGCTTGTATCTGCTGTTTGGACTGAAACCTTCCATGTCTTTTGCAGATGTTTTGGTGTTGTTCTTTATGAGGATGTTTTAAAAACTATTAGCATTTCTTCTAGTCCGTATTCAGAAGATTGGAATAAAAAAAATAAACCGGAATCGGTTGTGTATTGGTGGGTTGTGGAAGAAAACATTCAGTGTGTGTTTCTTAAGCTCGTGCTTTGTATAAAGGGAATGTTTTAAGTTGACTCAGTGGCACTGTGTTACTGTGATGTATGTAGACATGATTGAGCTGGCTGCCTAAGCTCACAAGCTGGAAACCTTTCTCTGAAACTTCATGTGTTCAAAGGAAGGCCAGCTTACCCTTTTAGGCCACTGGTGCTTGAAGAGAGGCGCTGCTACTCTGACCAGACCTCATTCCTGCTCTCTGTAGATGCTCTGACATTCGTACACTTCATAGAATTGTTTGAGTTGGAAGGGATTCCTAAAGGTCATCTAGTTGTCCCTCCAGGCCCTGCAATAAGTAGGGAGACCTACAGCTAGAACTGGTTGCTCAGAGCCCCATCCAGGCTGACTTTCAGTGTCTCCAGGGGTGGTGCACCCACCACCTCTCTGGGCAACCTAATCCAGTGCTTTACTATCCTTACTGTTTAAGGAATTGTTTTTGCTGTACTCAGGACTGAAGGCAGTGGAGTGAGAATTGTAAGAGATGGGAATCTGGGTATCTGGATGCAGATTTTCCTCTAGAAGGTGGTCTTGCTATACCCATAGGTAGACTTTGTGCTGAAACAGCTGTGATGCAGCTGTGCTTTGAAAGCCAACCTTGTTCTTAAGCTTGAAACTTTATTTCTTTGCATTTCTTATGGTCTTTATTCTGTTTTCTAATCCACTGCATTTTCCCTGCATTTGAGCTCAGTTGGCTTTTGCATAGCTGTCAAAAACTCAGCATGAGGAATGAGAAGAGTCTGGAAGGTTTGATTTTATTCTGCTTTACCGAGAAGGCAAATGAGTGAGAGAGTGAGAGATTGCTGTCAAAAACAACTGTAGGGAAGATGGTGTTGTGCTCTTACCACTTTCTTCTACTTGAATTTTTTTTTTGGTAGAAGATTCATTTGAAGCACCACAGTAGTTTGCTTTTCTTCACCCTGGTGAGCATTTGGCTCACTGAGAGAGGAACCCTGGCACTGAATCAAGGCAGGCACAATGGCATTTGGGATTTCACCTTGGCCTCTGGCAGTGTATTTATTTATACTAACAATTGCTGCCTCTGCTGTGCTCAGCAACAGCTGATGCTTGTGCTAAAATAATCAGCAAAGGAACAGCTAGATTTCTTGCTATTTTTTTTTGTTGTCAGTGTCTCAAGTGAGAAATAAGAAGTTGCCGATTCTGTCGTAGCTCTTCTTGTTACTGCAGGCACAAGAGAACTGTATGGAATTGGAGCTGTTTCTGTGAGGGCTTTTTTCCCACTGTCACTATTTTTTTTTCCTCTCAAAAATCCCACTTCTAGACCTGGACAGGTGCTGATTCATTGTGTGAGCAGTCTTTCCTGTCTTTGATGTTGTTTGGCAGTGCAGGGCTTAAGAGGCCATTTCAGAAACGGGAATGTGTCTGTTAAGGCAATAAATACAACAAAGCCTTCAGTTTGGAGGAAGATTTCATGTTGTTGTAGCTACACAGACTGCTCAAAAGCTCTATTTATCTGAGGGGTAACAAAAACAGTTGAGCAAAAATACAATCCACAAAACCAGAGAGTAAAGGAATTTCTGAAGAGCATGGTTGGTTTTGGGGAAAGTTAAAGCACACTTTTCAATCCTTGATCATTTCCAATTGATACTTTAATTCTTTTCACTGACCTTGGTGTGTTCCTTCTGCAGGAATGATTTTTAATGAAGAAGATCAGGAGGTCCGAGACTTGGGCTATCAGAAGCATGCTTTCAATATGCTCATCAGTAACCGGCTGGGGTATCACAGGGAGGTTCCTGATACAAGAGATGCAAAGTATGTACGGTTATTCAAATATGTATCATATTTATTTAATTTTTGTGAGCTGTCTTCCTAGCTGTGCTCTCAATTACTTCAAGTGTGCTACAGTACTTCTTTTTTCCAAGCTTTATTGTTGATGCTACAAGTACTGTAATTGTCAGAAGAGATGCTATAATTGTCTTTGGTACCATTGGAAACTTGGATGTTAAATGTTCAGGTGCCCAAGTGGATGAATGTTCTCTGGAGAAGATGCTTTCAGCTTATATATGCTCAATGTTTGCTGCAAGCCCAGAGGATAAGTTAGATGAGAAGAGCTTTCTACTTCTTTTTTGAATTTGTTTGGTATCTGCATGGCACTGCTGGATATACTGTGTTTTATTATGAAGCAAAATTTTACTTTAATCCATACAGTGCATATGGAAAAAATCATCACAGTAACAACATGATAAGAAAAAACCCACTGAATTGAAAAAAATAAATAAGTCTGCTTCTGTTTTTCTAGTGGTTGCTGTGGTGTGGGTCAAGGTAATGAATCGTACTTGCTGAAATCCTTCCCAAGAGCTGAATTCATTCCAAGTCAGTGAAGGCTGCTTTTGTATACCACTGTTTCCATTTATGGTTTTCCTTATTTTTGTTGGATTCCCTCATGCCTGGCATCTTCAAATGGCATTAATCTGTGATACTGTAGCCTATTGGAGGTTATAGATAAAATTTGAAGATAAGTAGAATGAACTTCGGCTTTGAGAGAGATTCAGCGAGGAGCTTAAGATGCCTAATTTAGTTATCTGCATGTTAGTCAGTTGTCTCTACTGTTATTACATTTAGCAGAGATCCAGTCAATGTAGTTAATGGAGCATACACAGCTCTTCAGCTAACAAAATGCACTTCTCTGCCTCAGGGTGAGCTGAATGCTGTCTTGACTTCACTGATAGTATTGACCAGATTTGAGTGTCTTCATCTGCGGGCTGAATCCCAGTGTTTGGTTCTCTAAACAAGTATTTAGCACTACTGGAGATACTTTCAAATATCCAACCAGCTCTCCGCTGGCTGGGCAATAAATGTATTTGTCATAATTACACAGAATCACAGAATTGTAGGGGTTGGAAGGGACCTCCAGAGATCATCGAGTCCAACCCCCCTGCCAAAGCAGGTTCCCTACAGTAGGTCGCACAGGTAGGCATCCAGGCAGGTCTTGAACATCTCCAGAGAAGGAGACTCCACCCCTCCCTGGGCAGCCTGTTCCAGTGCTCCGTCACCTCACTGTAAAGAAGTTCTTGCGCGTGTTTGTGCGGAACTTCCTATGCTGCAGTTTCCAGCCATTTCCCCTTGTCCTGTCTCCACTCACCACTGAAAAGAGTCCGGCCTCGCCATTCTGCCCCCCACACCTTAGATATTTATAGACCTGGATCAGGTCCCCTCTCAGTCTCCTTTTCTCAAGGCTGAACAGACCCAGTTCACTCAGCCTTTCCTCATAGGAGAGATGCTCCAGTCCCCTCACCATCTTCGTGGCCCTCCGCTGGACTCTTTCCAAGAGATCCCTGTCTTTCTTGTACTGGGGAGCCATTCTTATACATACCTGAGCCACCTTAGAGTGCTGGGCAGCGTTTTGATAGCTGAAATAAGCCTTTACTATTTACTCTTGTTATGTCTTAAGGATCTGTTATTCTCCTTCCCACTACAATCCATCATATTTTTTCTATCAAGTAGCAGTGCTAATTGTAAGCTTGCATTTATGTGGAGAGTAACTTACTATGCTTAATCCTGTAGACATTAACTAACTTGGATATAAGCACCTTACGACATTTAAAGAGTGACAGTAGCCCTTTGGAGATCCCAGATAACAAGATAAGTACTATATTTGTTTGCAGGTGTAGAGAGAAATCCTACCCTTCTGATCTGCCATTTGCCAGTGTTATCATCTGTTTCTACAATGAAGCACTTTCTGCCCTGCTTCGCACAGTGCACAGTGTCCTGGATCGCACTCCTGCACACCTTCTTCATGAAATTATTTTGGTGGATGACAACAGTGAACTGGGTGAGAACTTTTGGAAATATTTCAGTCAGAGCTTGCACTTCTCAGCTTTCCTGAATCTTCCTGTGCTTTACTACCAGTCTGAATGTAGAACCTGTAAAACTAGTTGTTACTGCTATCTATACTTGAAAAGTCCTAGCCACTACAGATGCAAGATATTCCATTATGTCCAGAATTATATCCACTTTGACACTTTCCTAATGTGCCATTTTCCTGATGATCTTTGCATTCTTTGCATTATATGGATTTCAGCATTCAGAAACTGGTTTTTGAAGCTAATAACAAGAGGTGTCCAGGTTAGTCAAGTGTTCAGAGCAGATAACTCTTTTAGCAAATTTCTTGGGCCAATCCTGCCTGTGAACGCTTCTGAAAGGCATTGAATGCACATAATCCCTGCTGAGGCCTCACAGATAAGTGGATGTGGCACTATGGAAACAATGCCTTGTTTTTTTAATACTTGTTTGATATTTCAGGACGATGGAGTGCTCCATCGGATCAGAGCTGGAGCAGAGCTCAGCCTTTGCTGGAAGGGTTCTGCATGGCTCTTGCACAGCCCCTTGTGGCCGCCCTAAGAGTAGCTGTTGCTGGCTCTTTGTGGAGCAGCCATCTCCACCAAGCCATGCCCCAGAGGGGAAGACCTTGCAGAACTTCAGTACTCTTGAAAGATTGATGCTCCAGCATTTTTCTCTTACACAAAGCAAAAGGCAAAAACAGACATAATCCAGTGGTTTGGTGTCTCAAATAGTTGTATGCCAGTTGAGGAATGCGTTAGTCCAGCAGGACTTGCAAGGAGGATTGTGCTAGTTGCCTGCCTCTATATAAGTCCAAAATTTTGTGCATTTTTTAAAATGATTTTTAATCTCTTTAGTACACAGGACCTTTCTTTATCTCATATTTGGTTTCCAAGTTAAGGTCTCACTTGCTTTGTGAGACTGAGATGCATCATCTCTTGTAGAATTAAATTCTCTTGTTGTGCAGCTATTTTCTGTCTGTGAGGTCAGGTCAAATGTTAAGATGTGGAGAAAAGAGGTCAAACATCCTTGCTGATAAGTAAGCATAATGCTTAATAACTTTTGTTCTTTTGTTCTTTGGAAGCAATAAGCACTCCCTGCTACAAGTCTCTTGTGCAAATTGTTATTTTCAAGTTTGATATCCTTCATTTTCAAATCTAAGCTTACTTCAAAACCCTCTCTTTTTTGAATATAGTTACGCATTTGGTTAATGTCTGTTTAGGAGTAATGCCATCACTCTTCTGGCCTGTTACCTAATTCAAAGGCCAAATTAGATTCAAAGCATTGAGTTGTTATTCTTGCCTTTCTGGCTGTTAATGAGTATGTTCTGCAGCTAAGGATGGGAGAAGATGCTATTTTTAGAGAACGATTAGTCTTATTGGTGAAACAACCAGTATAACGCCAATGTATGCAGTATGAGGAGCAAGCAAGTCCCTGAACTACAACAACAGAGGGATATGTGAATCCTGTGACTGATGTGCCATGGTGTAGTGTTCTAGGCCATTCAGAAGGGACAGGCAAGGCAGGGTGTTCATATACTTCAGTTAACTTTGCTCTCTTTCAAAAGCATGTGCTTGTCAACGTTGCTCTTAATTCCAGTGCTTCACAACCCTTACTGTAAAAAAACAAAACTATTTCCTTGTATCTCAGCTCTTTTAATTTGAAACTTTTCCCCTTTTATCACTAAGTGGTCAGTTTGAATGATTATTTTGAATTTCAGAAAAGGAACTACCTGTGAGGGGTGTTTGTAATTCTGTTTATCTGCTGTTGAGTCAGAAGGTACAAAGGATGAAATGTGTTATTGTGCTTTTCAAGTGTCAGTATTTGTTTCAGTATGTGGAACATAATTTAAATCGCTTTGTGTGAGTGAAAGGACTTTCATTACTCTTACTGTTTTTGACAGTCTGCATTAAGAATTTAGGAAGAGAAATGTTATCTCCTCATATAATGACCTTAAACTTATTTTTTTAGCAGTGGTAATTCCTTTTAGCACTGAGTCTGTTCTTTCCCATTAACTTGAACGATATTGTAGTAAAGGCTTTGCAAAATGATAGCAATCCAGTCTTCATTCAAGAAACTGCAGCTTAATATTTAGCCCCGATTTGAACATCTTGGGGCTTGAAACAAAACTCTCCCAAAGCATCCATGCTGTTGTTGATCTTATGTTCTCCTTCCAGCTGACTTGAAGAAAGACTTGGTTGAATATGTTAAAACTCAGCTTCCTAAAACAACAAAACTAGTAAGAAATGAGAAGCGGGAAGGTTTGATTCGAGGAAGGATGATTGGAGCCTCTCATGCTACAGGTATACTTTCTTGTTTCTCCTTTCTTTGCATACTCTGACCTTATTTTAGTGACTCTTCTCTTTCTGTGATGCAGCTTTTTCAGATGCTGAGTGTTTGACATGCAATTGCTTTACCCCACTGCAAAGGTGTCTGTTATGCCAATTTCTAAGCTGCACAACTGAAGCTGGGGGAGGAAAAATTTGGTTAACACTACTTCAGGTGTAAAGTGTTAAATAGTTTCAGCATGTCAGCGACTCTGTTAAACTACATTACAACAGCTATATGAAGTCTATTGGTTGATACCTATATGATGGTGATTGGAGACCTTAACTAATGTTAATTAATAAATGTTTGCATGATGATATTGACAGTGTTCTACAGAAAGTCTTCTGTATTTCCTCCTAGTTTTGCCGAATTACTCCTCATCTGAGGTTTTTGTTACTTTCCTAATGACTTAGCTCTCCTAACGACTTCATTAGAAGGAGCAAGAAAGATTTGTTTTTTGTTTTAGTGAAAATGTAATGTAGATGTAATAAAGATGTTTTTATGGTTTGTAATTTGGTAAAATGGTGTTTTGTTTTTTTTTTTTTAAAAAAAAAAAAGGAAATTTCTGCTGTGTAAGAGGGGAGTAGACTTTTTTCCAAATCACCCAAGCAATGACTTGGCAAATCTGGAAGCAGATTTTAATATCTTTTTACTCTTATCTAAGTATTGATTTATGCTTTTCTTCCTTCCTGTATAAACTCATTTTTAATAAGTGAATAATAAAAATGAGTTGATTATTTAGAATGGGTCAGTGAAATAGTCAAAAACAATGCTTGACTACATTTAGTGAGGCAGTGAGTAATTTACCTTATTCTTGATTGAAGGATCTGTGTTTGAGGAGTGCCTCCCTCTGCCCTGGGTATTGAGTTGTCAAAGTATCCTCAGCATGTTTCATGTGGGCATTATTGCCCCCAAATGACAATCTGCTTTCTTACCACAGTAAACTCAGAGGTGCCTTCTGAATCACCATTTAACTGTAATGATTCTCACAGAAGCTTTTCTGTTGTTGTAGTGAGTGCTAATTGGGATAAACTGTGTCTGGTCCTTCATGTGTACTGTGCCATTTACCTTAATGTACTTCCTTGTTAAGCCTTTGTTGCATGAGGAAGTATAGAGGACTTCTCAAATAATTTTGATTGGTGGCTAAAATATTGTAATTGGTGTTTCCTCATTAGCATTGTAATGGCATAATCCAGAGAGAAAATTGTGCTTACATCTTGTAAACTGTGCTTGGACCCGCTTGTGTTAGTGTAATCTTAAGTCATTTTACTGCTCCTCTGAACTTTTGGAGTCTGCTTTTCCCCTCAGTCAAAAATTGCCTGTTGTTAATAGAAACACACAGACATAACTTGTCTAAGTGTTTTTTTTAAAGCTCTTTTCCATTTTTTCCACATTATGTAAATTTAATGTTATTCTAACGTTATGCAGTTAAAGTTCAGATTTCTTAGACTAGCTGAACCTCTCAGGAGCCAAATTATCCTCTCTGATCATGGCAGGTAATCTGATAGACCTGACAGGACTTGTTGGTTGGTCTCATACTGGTGGGTCTGGCTGTGCCACATCAGGGCATTTGCTCTCCTTTTCAAGGTCTGGATCCACGATAACTAAAGCTAGTGAAATGTAGAGATTTTTCTGCATTACTTTACGTTCAGGAATTGAAGTGCTGTCATCTGTGTCTTGAATGAATGCAGATTAATTTGTCAGAATGGCTCGGCTTAAAACTCACAGATCTTAGCTACAGCAGTCAGTGCTGAAGTGTGATATGAAGGAAGCTTAAGGTGATTACAGTCAATGGACAAAAGCAGCTTTGTCACAAGGATGGTTCATCCAGCCCAGTAACTGTCATCTCTGTCTGCCTCTGTAGTCTTGTTCATGCATAGAAGGTGCTCCTCTTCAGAACAGGTCTATCTCTAGTCTCTGAGAGTTCTGATGTTCCTTTTAAAGTACAGCAGTTGTGCTTGGTCTGAGTGTGATACCTGATGCCTATTTTAAGCAGTTCATAATGTGTGATAGCCAGGATCTACCTTCTGCTTTAGTGACTGAACTAATCCCAGTGCTGTCTAGTTCTTCCACCCTTCTGAGTGAAGATGGCATTTCCCTTCTGTTACTCAGAGTTGTGAGGATACTGCTGATACTCTGCAGCTCCAATTGCACATGTTTGTGTATTTCATGTTACCTCAAGTCTTTATGTTTTGTGTTTTTTGGCCTTTGTAGGAAAAGTGCTGGTTTTCCTGGACAGTCACTGTGAGGTAAATGAGATGTGGCTGCAACCTCTGCTGACTCCAATCAAAGAAGACCGCAGGACTGTGGTGTGCCCTGTGATTGACATCATCAGTGCTGACACACTTACCTACAGCTCTTCCCCAGTTGTGCGTGGAGGGTTTAACTGGGGCCTGCACTTTAAGTGGGATCTTGTTCCTTTGTCAGAGCTTGAAGGTCCTGAGGGAGCCACTGCTCCAATCAAGTAAGGCTGCTCTTGCATGGTGTGCAGCAGTCAGCTCTGTGTAATGTATGGGTGCTCAGGAGCACTTTGAGGTGTTATGAAATGTATCTGAGCATGCAGCTTTAGAAGCAGATGCCTGACCTATCAACTATTTCTCTTTATTATGTTGCCCAGAAGTAGTTTTATTTTCTACTACCTATTTCACTTCTGTTTCTAGTATTTAATCATGTATTAGTTGATTAAGAAGGTACCCTCTTTAGGGAGAAAAGCAGCAGCATATTAGCAGATTTTGCTGAAGGCACAAGTCTTAAAGAGCTTGTGCTCTCTATTAATGGTGAAATTATCTGACAGATTTAACCCACCTGCCAGTGTTCGTTTCCAATTTGATGTTTTTGGCTTAATGATCGTAATTTTGATGTGATCTTGTCTCTAGTAGCTGCCTGGCTATTCCACTAGAGCTCACAGGCTCTGGACTTCCTGTGGTGAAATGCCAAAGAATTGCTAGTCTGGGAAAATGCATTTTTATGGCAATGTGAAGGTGATTTCATAACTGATGGGGTAGGATGCAGTATTTGCTTATCTTCTGTGTCAATGTTTTTTTTCCTATTTGGATTTTGTTTTCTCATTTGAGCAGGGAAAAAGGTTTAATGCTTTGTTTGAACTTTTATTTTGTCATAAAGCTTTGTAAATGAATGCACAGGGACATGAAGGCCGTCTTCAAAACAGTTCTGTCTTTGCACAATATGGCAAATGTCCCAGATAGCTTTTTGGAATCCTGTCCTTATTTCTGTGGTCTGGATAGCATGAATACCATTCTGAAACAAAAGTCTTAGTAAGATTTAGCGTGGGGCTGTGAGAACATCCTCCTTAGCCTTTTAACCATTCGTGGCTGTCTGACCTGTACAGAATGGCAATATCTGGTTCTTACTGGAGCCGTAACTCTTATAAACTGATTTTAGTAGACGCCTTTCTTAAGCAGTAGACACACACAGCTCAGGTACAAGAACAAAAGCATTCCCATTCATTGTCTGAGAAGCCAGGAAACTTTCTGTTACTGAACAGCTTGACTGGCTTGTATGGGGAGTGTTGCTGTAGCAGTTTCTGAAGGAAATGGGTGGATTGGGGGAATATGAATAAGGAACAGTCATAGATAGACTTAAAATCTATATTCTATTTGGAATCTTTCTCAAAGGTTACTTGGGGCATACCTGGAGATCAGTTCTCACTGTGTTCAGCATTGCTGTTGCCTTCCTTCACTTCACTTGAAGTTTTCAAGTGCTCAGCTTCACTTCAGCTCACTTTTAGGAAAATCTCCTGTGAAGAGGCAGGGGACTTTATACTTAATGGTAGCCTTGTCCTCTAAGGAGATCATTTTCTGAGTGTGAAAAGGACTTCTCATACATACTCTGCTTGCTTTGACAGAGAAGCAAGTTTGCTGTTTAGCCTTTGAGAATGGCTTTCCATCAAATGGAAAGTCTTACATTTTATGATCTGGAGAGTTTTGTAATATTTTGATGTCAGGGATGGAAAAAGTGAGGTTTCTGTGAAATAGATGGCCATTCTAGGAGTGCTCAGGCAAGGTAGAAAACTGGGAAACTCCAATAAGAACGTGTGTGCAAGTACAGAAACTCAAATACTTATCAATGACTTTACCAACTGACCACAGCATTGATGATGAAGCAGTGCTGCTCCTGGTACTTGAATCCTCTGAGGTAGAGTACCATGTATTTTAGCAGGCTGCTTGGCTTGTATGACTGAAGTTTTGATCTTCTTTTGCTTAACTAGGGTATTATTTCTTGATCTTATTAATGTGCCCTCTGGATTCTGCTCTTTTTTCTGCTGTTCAATCAAGCCCAGTCAGTATAAATCCCTCCTGTAAGAGGAAGATAAACACACATCATTGTAACTGCATTGTGATTGCATTTGTGATTGTAGGAAGATGATCTGTCTTTACCAGCAGCTAATTAAACATGGCTCCTAATTCTCAATTTAGAAAACTAAATGGAATTCAAACCTGCACAGGTGTTTGCTATTTTTTGAATGGAGAGACAGCAGTTTGTTTCTCTTTCTGTTCCATCCTTCTGCCTTGAGTTCACTATATGAGGAAATATGGTTTTATGGGTACATCAATAGTGAAAGATCACAGGGAGAGACTATGGAACTGAAATCCTGCAGAAAGTGGAAATCATCAGCTAAAAATTGCAGGTCTAAATGCAAGCTTTTTTTAACCAGTTCAGCTGAAATCCCTCTTCTTGCTTAAAGCATTGACCAGCTTTCACTGTTCCGTTTTAGATCACCCACTATGGCTGGAGGCCTGTTTGCCATGGACCGTGAGTACTTTAATGAGCTTGGACAGTATGACAGTGGCATGGACATCTGGGGAGGAGAAAATCTGGAGATATCTTTTCGGGTACTCTCACTTTGTGTGTATTGGAGTATGAATCTCAGTGTCTGGCTTCTCTTCCTCTATACAGTGTAGTAGTAGCACTGGAATAGCTGTTTGCACGCACAAACCAGTGCTTTTGTTCCTAGGAGGGATGCCTCTAGCACACTAACCTTTATAATAACTTTCAGGTCAAGTTTTAATAGGAAAATTGAAAAGAATTTTGAGCTCATACTTGAATTTTTTTTCTTTGTTTGGCTAAATTTTTCATGATACTGGAAATAAATCACTAGAAATAATACTAGACATACACAGAAAAGAGTAATCACATATTTATGAAAATGGTTTATACAAACAGTTAATGAATTCTGCAGATAGGTTGAAGATACACGTGGCTAACAGCAGTGTAGGCAGTATGTAAAGTTATATTTCCTTAGCTTGTGGTGCTTTTCAAACTCCATTTTGAGGGCATGGGAATGTAAAACTTCTGCTGTACTCTTAACTCACAAAAAAAACACATCATATTGGTTGGAAAAAATATGAAGAAAATCATTAACAAGAGATTTGAAAGTGATGCTTCATTGGGATTGCTTTATTTTCTCCTCTTCACTGTCACTCCCCTGATAGAAAACAGCTTTTCGTGCTCAGTGCCATGTTTTTATTCTTTGCTTCTGTGGCATGGATTCATCAGCAGATGTGATGAGGATCTGCTCAGAAATGAGATGCAACCATGGGAAATACAAGAAGGGGATCAGAGGAAAGTGAAAACAAACAAACAAAAATACCACCTCCAAAGCAAGAGCAAACAAACAAAAAAAGCAAACACTAACCACATACTCATAAACTTCAGAGAAATCTGACAAATTGAGATATTAGAGAAACTGAGATTGGAATTAAAAAAATAAGAACAAGTAATCATGAATTTGAGTTATTTTACAGAGTTGTGTATGGAATATTTTCCATGTTTTTAGTACAGAATAGAGTGTGGAGTAAGAGCAGATTAACTGAGGAGTATATGCAGTTCCAAGGTCTGGAAGCTCTGTCTCCGTTGGGAAGAGTTGGGAATAGTGAAAATTAGTCGTTATCTTATCCAGGCAGAGTTTAAGTGATTTGATTACAAACTGCTCTCTTGATGACATTGACTGACCTACTTGTATGTTGTTTGTTGTGGAGCCATGGAGATGCAATTCTCATGTCAGTTTTCTTAACCTACAAGGTAAATCCCAGCCCAAACGTTTCAGAATTTTCTAATAGGTCATTAGAACCATATCATTTAGGAATAGCATACTGCCTGTTCTGAGAAGGCCATGATGTTGTGAGTGGAAGAAGTGATGGCATGACTGAAATGTTTCTTTCTCCAACCCAAAGATCTAATAACTAACTTATCAGAAAGCCTGGCATGTAGAAAACATTGCTGACAATTATGTTGTATTGCGCATAAACCTACTGAAAAATCTCTTGAAGGTGAGGAAGAAGCGAGCCTTCTCAGTATGCACATGGTAAGCTGTGCTCTGCTTTTCTGTGGACAGATTTGGATGTGTGGGGGTCGACTTCTGATCATTCCCTGCTCCAGAGTGGGACACATTTTCCGTAAGAGACGTCCCTATGGCTCTCCAGGGGGACAGGACACTATGGCTCATAATTCATTGAGGCTGGCACACGTGTGGATGGATGAATACAAAGTAAGAGACATTTCTAGGACATGAAATATTTATTAGCTGGCTTACGTGTCTGAAGGCTGTGTCACAATGAAGACTCCTGGCCTTTCTAATGGGATCTTTCTTCTGTATTCTGATTTCCTAATGTTTATTTTGGTCTGAATTCCTAAACTCTGTAAGCTTGTGGTTTTGCTTTTGAGTGTTGAAATTTCACCCCTGTTGCTGCTACTGCTTGAGGGAGATTCAGTATTATGCCTTTTTAATGAAGTAAAAGATGTGTAGGTTTCTTGTAAGCTCAGCATTGTTTTGTGTCCAAATCACTTGCATGTGGGAGCTGGATGCCTTTAGGTAGTTTCCATGTTGGTGAGATGGCAGTTTCATTGGTTATTTATTTGCTTTTTGTTACAATTAGCAGTCTGATTCTTAATCTGTCTAGCGCTGTAAGGCCAATTGGGATTGACTTTTGGATTCAAGGGCAAGAATGTTTCTTCCCTGTATTCAGACCTGGCACTATGCTTTTAAAAGTAGATGCGTCTATTGTGTGAAGCCCTCATCTCTGTTGTATTTGAGGGCATTTGTCTTGTGAGGGCATAGGATTGGCTTTATTGCCAGCTCCAGTGGTCCCCATAATTTCTGTAGAAGAGATTTTTCTTAACTTCATATTCCTTAAAGTTTTATGTTTCAAGGCCCATCCTTTGTCTTGATACTCTGTCACTTTGAGGAATCTATTAGGAGTTGTTAATTTTTATCTTCATTCTCCATTTTTATAATGCATTGGTAGACTTGATCTATCACTTTCCCTCTTATTGGTGTCTGGGCACAGTAGTTTGTGATTTATGATGGTTTTCTCTGTAGCTTAGAATTGATTCTTTATTTCCATCCAATAGTGCTTTGTCCAAAGAGAACATATACTGCTGATTGTTGCAGTCTCTTATCGCACAGTTATGTTCTAACCTTTTCCAGCTATGTGTAATCTAATTCCATAATAGTTGCCAGAGACTGTCATTATGACAGATTTACAGATGGAATGCAAGCTTGGAGATATTTTTGTCTGTTGAAGTGATTGTGAGGTGAATCGAGCAAAGATAAGACAGGGGGCTGTTTTGCAGGTATGAGCAAATACCAACATGTAATAAATAAAACTACGTAATGGAAGGGAAACAACAATGTAAATTTTGGTTTTGATGGTTGTTAAAATGATCTGAGTTTTCATGTACACGATGGAAATAAAAAATACAGAAGAGGTAAAATATTAAAACTTGAACTTCAACCACAAAAGAGGCAAGTAGAGTAACAGAGCTAATTTTTACCAATTCCTAATGACAAGGGCTGGCCTATCTCCAAACTTCCTTGGAGGTGTCCAACATTCCCTTGTTTTTAATGTTTCATTTTCCTCTACTTTTAAAAGAGCAGTGTGCATCCATGTGCTCGAAGGTGTTGGTAAGGACAGATGTGCCATCTGTTTTGAGATGTCTGCTGTCTCTATGCCAGAGATGGCACTAAGTAATTCCAAATGTGTTGGCAAAGTCCAGGTGTCTGATAGAGATTAATCCAGCAGAATATTGCAGCTCAGTGCCCTTATAACTGATTTTTAAGTCTTATCTAGTGAACTAGTTGATGTGCAAATATCATACTTCTTCTGTGAGTTCTGTAATTAGCAGCTGAAATTAAAGACTCTGCGAGAACTTTTCATTTTTGTGACGAGATTGATAAATGTAATTGTCTGAAATGAAACTTTGAGAGCTCTGCAAGCAGGAGAAGTAAAAATTCACTGATCTGTAATTCTCCTCTCTTTCCCTTCCCTCAACCTTTTCCCCCTACCTACAGGAGCAGTATTTTGCTTTGAGACCTGAGCTAAGGACAAGGCACTATGGAAATATAACTGATCGTGTAGAACTGAGAAAAAGATTGAACTGCAAGTCATTCAAGTGGTATTTAGATAACATCTATCCTGAGATGCAAGTATCCGGGCCCAATGCCAAAGCTCCACAGCCAGTTTTTATTAATAGAGCACAAAAGCGACCAAAAGTAATCCAGCGTGGAAGGGTAAGATAAACTTTCTTAAAAATACAGAGGTCTGTCTTAAGATATTCTTTTTTTTTTTTTTTTTGAAAGATTTTCTCGGACCTGTTCATGCTGAACGCAGTTTTTGTTCTGCAGCAAACTGGAAATAATCTTTTACTGCACTATTTAGTCTGCACGTAGGTTATGGCTAGCAGATTCCTGCCTATCTCAGTAATTGGAAGCATCAGGTAGAGATGGAGCGTGCTCCATGTAGTAGTGCAGCCTGCAGTAAGGAGATATGAACAGTTGCTAGTGCTGCAAGTGAATGCAGGCTGGAGGACCAGAGCTCATGGGCGGCCTATTGATATCATTACCTTTTGGTTGGAAGCAGCTGCCTAGGAAGCCACAGCTTGTGCAGTATTTTTAGAATTGAATCCCAGTCAAGTTGTAAAGTTAATTATTAGGGTATGCATGAATGCTTCCCCCAACTGCAACTGAAAAATGCAGTTCCTCAGCTTGATGCTTCAGGGTTCCAGGGTTATACCCAGCACTGCGTGTGCGAGAGCTCTGGCTCTGATGTCTCTATGAACTACTTCCACATGCCTACGTGGAACAGAGCTATCAGCCAATGTCACCACTGTGTGCTGTGCTCTTCAGGATAAATCACTCAAAATCCCAGTTTATTCTCAGAAGCTAGTAGGTCCAGAGATAAATGCTGGTTTGACAGCTGGGAAGAGCTGTAATGATCACAGATCCGGATGGTTCTTTACAGTGTTATTAAATACTGATCATCATGGCCAATAAAAACAAGGAGGGAAAATTATAAGAAAAAAAAAATCTTAAAGCTGTAATGATTTGAAAGCCTACTTGTGAGTGAGGAATGATGGAAATTAAACCACTCCTAGAAGTCTCTGGAGTGTAAGAAAATGTAACTTAGAAGCTTTTCTGTAATTTGTTTCAGATGTGTAGAGGGAACAGGAGAAGTATGGTGTGCTTGGGGAGGCAGTTGGTGTGTCTTGGGACAGCTATTTCCAGAAACTCTCTTTAGAGAAGAACATTACTCGGTCTTTGTGCTCTCTAATTATGAGAGTGTGGTGGAGCAGTTTGTTCTTTTTATTACTGGAAGTGTCTTGGTTTATAAAACTCTGTGGAATCAGTACAAATGCCAAAGCATCTATGTCTTCATAATAAAACACAACTAGCTAATTAGCCAGCCTGGCCTCCAGTTCAGGACAGCAAATTTTTTTTACTCTCTATCCAGCTCTAGATTGGCTATGATTACTTCAGCGTGCATGACAGATCTGTTGCCCTGCCATCTCCTACACATGCAGAGTGGGACAAAATTGGGTAGACGGTGTATTTGAAGTGGAATGGGCATTTAAGGAGCGTTTAAACCTTTTCCTTCTTACCTCATCTGTAGCAACTGTGACTTCATTTGTGTAAATGCTCTTGAGGATCAGTTTGCAAGCAGATGATGTCAGAGACGCATCTGTTTAAGACCTTCCTTTTCTCAATAGCTTTGTCTTGTTTCATTAAGAGATGCTGTGGGAGGGACTTCTTTGAAGCTAAACTGCAGTAGAATGCAGTAAAGATTTGTTCAGTTGATGGGACTGTAGGCTTCTGCAGAGAGCAAGAAAGGGAAAGAAACTTGTGCTGAGCCAAGTTGTGTGTATTGCACTTCTATCATCCAAGGGAAGAATTGGAAAGCAAAATGGAACTAGAGAATGCTGGCTTTTTCTCCAGATTAATTTGAAAAACAAAATGGTATTTTAAAAGGGAGAAAGGGCCTTCTATTGCTCTTCTTTGTGAGCACATTGAGTGCTTCCAAAGCATTACCATGTGTTCTCTTTGGTATGTGGTGTTTGTTGCTTATCCTGTTCATCAAACTGTTTTCCTTTTGTAGCTGTATCACCTTCAAACCAACAAATGCCTGGTTGCTCAGGGCCACCCAAGTCAGAAAGGAGGCCTGGTGGTGGTTCGGGAGTGCGACTACAATGATCAAAACCAGGTATGATATTTTGAGTAGTGAACCATATCAATATGTTTTCCTGCTGACAAAATGCCCTGGTGTAACATCTCATCACCAAGCAGGCTGATTCCAGAGTATTTTTTCAAAAAAAAAAAAAAAAAAAAAAGGCTGGCAAAGGAGATGGTGGAGCTCAATGTTCTACCTACTGAGTGTTGGATGTTATAATCCTGTCTTTGTGGGCTGAATCTCCGTATGTGGCTGGAGACTGTCCTCAAGTGGCTCCTGAGGGATTCGTGATCTACTGACTGACACTTCAGAATTTGTAGAAGCTCTTCCAGTCTGTTCCTTATACTGAGATTCAAGGCAACCTTTTCCTGGCCCACTGTTCTTTGTGTTCTACTACCCTAGTGCTCTGCTGCTCTGCTTTGGAATGAATTAATGATTTGTTGCTTTTTCTAAATTTCCTGGAATTCCTTCTATTTAGCAAGTTCTTTGGCTGCAGATTGCTGTTCTGGAGCTTAATTGGGAATGGATGTGAACATCCAATGATAGAGGCTTCATGTAGTGATATTAAAAACTGCTGTTCCACTTCTTTCTGACAACAGAAATTCAGGACTCAAGGTGAGGAGAAAATCTCCAGGGTAGAGAGGTCCCTAATGCCTTAAAGACTGTTATCTAGTTAAGAGCTATAGTGAGAGCATTACAGTTTAGAAGCATATGGCACTCAGGTCTAAAAACTAAATCTCATCTGAAGAGAAAAGTAGTCAAAGACACAAAATAAATGGGATCATAGAATCACCAAGCTTTGAAAAGACCTCCAAGACATCTAGTCCAACTGTCCACCTACCACCAGTACTTCCCCACTGAACCGTGTCCCTCTATACAACGTTACATGGATGGTATCCACCATCAGAACAGATAGGGAAACAAATGGAAACCTTCATTCCTGTGGTATTTCCAGTAATGTACTGCCAAATAGTTGGAGGAGAGAGCCTTTTTTTTTTTTTCCTCCTTATCAAAGCCTTCTGATTTGTCTCTTGGAGACAGAAAACTTTGGTTAGCTGTTAGATTTTTTTTAGAGATGAATAATCTGAGCATTAATTTGTCTGGTTTTAATCTTGTTTACTAGTGGTAAATTAAGCAACTAGTTCTCACGGAAGAAAACTGGCTGTGCTGTTGTCTTTTGCAATGATTTTGTTCTCCAAGTACGTAAACCAACACTGTCATTTTCTACTAGTAAACTTGTTTTGCTCTACTAACAATTTGTCAGTTTTCTTGCATATCTTCTGAACGCTCTTGCTCTAGGTGCATGAGAACAATGTAAAGAAAGGGCATGTAACAAGTTATGCATATAAAACATGACAAGAAACTTGCTCAGTACTGGAAGGTTTTGGCCTTTTCCACCGGTGTTGCCAAAAAAGGCAAGAACTGTATTGTTCTAGAAGAATCTATCCCATCTGTTCCATCCATACCTTTAGCCTTGATAAGAAAGCCTGCATTGGGTCTAGTGAAAGTGGTCTGGGATAAGTTAACTCTATTTCTCTTTCCAGGCTACTTTTTACCATGTGAATAGATAGCAGTCTCAGTAAGTTGAAGGAACAAAGTGAACTCTACGTGGGAAAACATGTGAAGGTCTTGGAAACAACGCTGCCCTTCTTGAGACTCACTGAGCACAGTACTTTGGACTGGAAAATGGTCTTCTGCATGATTTTGTAGTTAGAAATAGCACAGGTAGAAATAGTGGAAGGGTCTGGTAGAAACAAGATCAGAGATAAGAAGCCTGAAGTAACAGAAGCTGAGGAGCAGAAATGCTGAGTGTGAATTTTGCAAGCAGAAGGCTAACATGGGATTAACGTTGTGTAGTTGAAGAGTGGTTGTGTGGAGATGCCAAGACAGCTGAAGTGAACTCTTCTGCTCAGTCTGCAGTGTGTGACCTCTTTCCATAAACGAAACTGGGAATGCACAAGGTAGCACACAGCGTGAAACGTGGGTGGTGAAGGAGGCCAGAAAGCATTTAAGGGCTTCAAAAGGTCAGACATCTCCATCTCTGTCTTTCACAATGAAATGCAGAAATAAACAAACAAAAACAAGCACCCCAAGTGTTGTGGATTCTACCAAAAATGTTGTCTAAGGTTAATAGATGGTGATTAGGCAGAAAAGGTGCTGAAGTTCTTCATGACAGATGCTCCAAAGGAAAAAGTAGTTACTAATAAACTTGTAAGAGGAGCTTCAGAGACCCCAGTGAAGATTTTTGGAATGAAGCATGAAGGCCAACAGAAGATGTAACTAGTGGGACTGGCTGTGATCTAGATTGGCTCTCTCATGTGTCTAATGCCTGCTTATCTTCTGCCTGACCTAAATGCTTCAAGTCAAGCTGCTTTTCAAAAAAAGAATCTTCTCCTAGTCTGCTGAGTAGTGTTTTGTTTTTTTTTCCTATTCTCTTGGTTTCACCCCTTCTCTGTTCATTTGTTTCAATTCAGTAACTTAAGCTTTCTTTAGCTTAGCAATGTATTAGGCTTTACAGTTGTGAATGCTGCCCTTGAGGCTGGGGTTAGCTGGTGGGTGTCTGTGCTCAGCTGCATGGGGTTGGGAAGTCACAAGAGCTGTTAACCTCTTGTAGCACTCCATCAGTGTAAGCATGTGTAATTCTGACTCTTGAACTGTTTGTAGGAGGATGAGCTTTAAGTGCTACAGCTCTTCTGTAGGGTTCTCCTCCCTAAATCTCTGCATCATGGGTGTAAGTTTTGTTTTTCTGATGCATTTGCCTGGAGTGAGTGTGGAGAAGTGTGAGCTATCTCTACTGCTGCATTTTCATCAGCCCATTGAAGGACATGATCCCACAGTTCCTCTTCAAATCCTCAGCCACACACTGAGATACAAAATAGGATCACATGGACATCAGCAATGCCTTCAGGAGGACGTTGAGTCTCCTGGATAGCAGTAGCTTAAAGTAATGATTGCAGATCCCATGCTTTGCCTTTGCTGCTGACTTTCACAAGTTATTTGGTGCTGTGATGTCACTGCTAGCCACTAGAAACATGAACTGAAGGGCTACACGTAGCTGTAATGATGCAGTCGCTGGGCACAGCTTGTCCTCATGCTGAGGTGGCTGCTTGGTGCTCTTCAGCTTCATTTTGTCATTTAAAAAACTCTGGAATAATGCACTGGTGCCAATGTAAGCAACAGATGGCAGCTGCTTGGAGTGCTGGAATGCCTGTGCTGGCAGCAGAGCCCACAGCCATAATTCTGTCACACACAGAGCTGGTTCTGTAATAGTTGCTGGCTTGCATTTATTGGAGTGAAGTTTTTCATTGCATTCCTCTCCTCCTAATGCAATTTACAGATGAAATGAGTGTACATCCACAGAGCTTTGCCAGCTGCCCCCTGTGCCTTTTGCTACCAGCATTGCACTCTGAGAGCCAAAGTCCTTCACTTACTATTGGTTTGATTTTTTTTTTTTCCCAGGTTGAGTGCTGGGTTTTGTTTCAGTACAGCCATCTGTATTGACCTGGACTCAAAGTCTGGTATAGTTAACTGCTTTTGTCCTGAGGAAATGGCAGTGTGGGGCCTTCTTCTCTGCCTTGGGCACTGTTCCACCCCTATCCTCACTTGAATGTCCCCAGAAGAAGTTCAGCTGCCTTTTATTCATTTGCACTAATCATACTGTGGGGTAATTTCATCTTTTGGTAGTATAAAATAAGTCAATAACACAGCCCTGTATATCTTCATTATGGCAAAAGAAAATGAAAAATAAAAAAAAATGCCAGAGGAATCTCTGGATTTCTGCATGGTCAGCCTATGGCAGTGAGGATGATGGAAGATGATCATCATCCATCCATGTGGCAGCAGGAAAATATTTAATAAATTTCAGAGTGCCTGAAGACTTTCAGTTTTATGATAAGGGGTGGCTTTGCTTTCCATGTGCTGGAATCTGCTAACAGTCTGCATGTTTACAGCAATATTTAAATTCGAGTTTGGAGCCACAGCATCTCCAGACTTCAGGCCTTGTTTTTCTTTTTCCCTTGTTTTCTACTCCAAACATGTAATTAGTTTGAAATTGATTTGGGCTGCCTGGTATCAGCCTTTCTGGAGAAGAAGCACGGCTTTCTCTGCTGTTGTGTGCTCTTGGTGCCCATAGCACAAAGTGAGGTAAACTCCTTTGTGTTTCTGGCCAAGTGCAGCTGTTTCCAGGAAGACTCAAGGTACTTTTTGGCTTTGTGTCCTGCCTGCCTGATGGCACTTGGCCCAGCTAAGGAGATCCACCATCCTCCTCATCCTCAGGGATGGACTTAATGTGATGTGATGGTGAGTTTGGGAGAGGGGCTGCATGTTGCTGTCATCCCCAGAGGACAGGAGGAACGTGTGGGTGTGCTTTATTTCTACATAGGGTCTCACGTGGTCCTCTGAGCACCTCTGCATAGGATAATGCTGTTTGGTGTTGGGAAGGTGGTGGAGCACTGCAGCTGCTTTTCAGGCTCTGCTGGGAAAAAAGAAGACAGCAAAGCAACAGCAGGTGTGGCAAGGCATCTCTGTGATGCCTTGTAACTCTGCAATTGACATCTTTTCTATCTCATCTTTCAGATGTGGGTTTACAATGAAGATCACGAGCTGATTTTGAATAACCTCCTGTGCTTGGATGTGTCAGAAACTCGCTCGTCTGACCCTCCTCGCCTCATGAAGTGCCACGGCTCTGGTGGATCTCAGCAGTGGACCTTTGGGGTAAGTGTGTGTAGCCTGGAGCACAGCACAGGGCTTGTGATCAATGCCACTATAAGTGATGGTGGCACCTGTGGGACATAGGATTGAGTGTAATTATGGCCAAATTTATCAAGTCCACAGTCAGTACAGCCTGTGCAAAGCTACACAGTGTTGGTGGCTGCACCTCAGCCTGAGCAGGACTTCCCTGAGCTCCAGGACCTACAGGCCTTCTCCTTTGCAATGTTGGGAAGTTTTTGCAGTCCTATTTAGATTTCTCTTCTGTTTGTCACAGCCACGCACAGAACTGTGTCCTGTGGGATGTGTCAGGTGGAAGAAACCCACCCCACAGCTCTGCTGGCTTTGCAGGACTAGGAGATGCAAGCAGTCCTTGTCATGGCTTCTGCTGAGCGTGGGGGGCAGAACTCAGGATCCAGAGGAGCAGTTTTGCAGCTTCTGTCCTGTAATAGCATCTCGTTAGTTTAATGTCTTATTGCCTCAGTTCTGTGACTCTCCTGCAGCCATGTGAAATCTGGCTCCTTGGTGTTAGCTCAGGGGCTGTCACCTCACATGCCCCGGTGTAACAGTGAGCCCATAACATAAACATTGAGCAAACAGGAGTATGCTGCCAGGACTGCATGCTGCATATCCAGGACCCTGCATGATCCTTCTTGGGTTTGTGCTGTGCCACTCATTGGCAGCATTTGTTCCTCAGAGGAGTCAAATAAGGCAAGCTGCTGCAGCCCTGCCAGCAGTCATGGAATCACAGAGCCACAGAGGTCGGAAGGGACCTCTGGAGATCATTGAGTTGCCCACCCTGCTGAAGCTGTTCCCTATAGGGGCTTACCCAGGAGTTACTGGGAGATAGAAAGGCCAGCAATACTCTGTTGGTTACAAGACTTTGGACTGTCCTTTGAAGACAGCAGAGGACAAGTTCAAGCTGTAGAAGCTGATGGTGTAGTGGGGGCCACAGGGTGCCTTACTGCAGGGGCCAGCAGTCAAAAAGCTTATGTAAGTTCAAGGGAAATCACCACATACTGGGGGGGACAACAAGTTCCAGTTTAATTATACCCTGCCTGCAACAAGCTTCAGGCATTCTGCAATAAAATGCAGCTGGAAGGGGTGAGTAATCTGGAAAGGCACTGGATGTTCTTGCTGTGTTTCTCCTCCCTCCCTGGCCATGCTAGGGAATGGCTTTTGTCATCCCTCCATCTGATCAAGAGACTGGTACAGGCAGAATCCAAAGTAGGTCCCTATAAAAGTACGTGAGCCTTTTCTCCAGGATCTCAGTGTGGTTACAGGGTGTGCTGTTGTGGCTGTGGGCCTGGTGTCTCAGGGCTGGGAGGAGAAGATGCCCAAATGCTGGTTTCTCAGCAAGGAGCAGCCCCTTCCCCCATGGGGAGTGCCCCACACGTCGGTTCCAGCTCTAGTTTGTCAGTGAAGCAGAAGGGAAGTTGCAGTAAAGATCTCCTGTTTGTCTGTCTTTCTTAGAAAAACAACCGCCTCTATCAGGTGTCGGTGGGGCAGTGCATGAAGGTGGCAGACCCGCTCAGCCACAAAGGCTACGTGGCCATGGCCATCTGCGATGGCTCCCTTCCTCAGCAGTGGCGTTTCGAGAGCTGAGGCGGTGAGCCAAGGAGGAGCAAAGCCGGGCCTGGCTTCCCCTGCAGCCACCGTGTGTCACCGCAGAGCTGTGCTGTGCTGGGAGCCCTTGGCCGCTGCAGCCGGCGGAGCACAGGGAGGAGCCTTCGGCTGCGCTGCGGGGAGCAGCTCGGGGAGCCCTGGGCTGTGTCGGATGCAGCAGTAATGGCAGCGGATCCCTGAGTTAGCCTGGATCATTGGACTGATTTTCAGTAAGAGAAATCATTAGAGCAGTGTAATTTAAATGGTGAGATTTTTAGCTTTGCGGGTCTTTTAGATGACAGAAAGGCGTTCATCTTGGAGCATTCCACGTGCGGTATCTCGGTAATTCATGTTTTTAGTATGGTTTTACTGGAGGAATTATTTTACTTTACCTGGAAAGTATTTTTAATTCCCTTTTATCTTCTGGAAGTTGTCATTGTAATATTTGTTTTAATTTACGATTTTTAGAACATTTCACATAGCTGAAATCCTTAGGTGTCATTGTCACCTCCTATTTAAAACAAAGTAACTATTACAAAGTCTATTTTGATGACTCATGACCTAGCTGCATATAAAATAAAGTATCTGTTTTTTATGACTCCCTCTGGCTGTACTCCTTGTAGCCATCAGCAGGGCTGGCACTGATGTGGACCTGCACCCTCACAGCTCTTCCATCCTTCTCACTCCTTTTTTCACAGCTGCATTCTTCCTTTCATCTCCTCCAGGGTTTGGGGGTAAGTTTTGTGGTGGGATTTTGTTTTCCTGATTCTGCTTCCCCTCCCATGTGACGGGTTGGTTTCACTGCTTGCTGTGCTTTCAATGCCTGCTTCAGCCCCCAGGGACCAGCAGAAAGCAAGCCCTGCTCTAATCTGTGTGCTTCCCCCTTTGCTGTGTTCATCAACCAGAGGCAGCTCTGCCCTTCCAATCGGGCAGAGAAACACTTTCCAGCAGCACGTGTATCCCAGCATTGGGTTATTGCAAGGTGGCAGGATGAGGTGGAATGATGACAGTCCTCAGTCTTCTCCTGAGAGAGCAGATCCACCTGTGACAGCCTGATGGGTCCTTCAGCCACAGAGGGAGGAGGAGTGCAATAGGAGCAACAGCTGTGAGCGGTGCCCTCAGCAGGAGCTGTGTCACAGGGCAGGGTGCAGGTAAGCAGGGGTTGATCACAAAGCCCAGCAGTGGGCTGCAGTGGATTGCCCTTCAGACAAACATCACCAGCCACGTTCCTTCCTTCTATGACAGTCCCAGCAGCCAAGCACAGCCATGGTGACAGCTGGGCCAGGCACTGCATTTGGCTGTAGGCTGCCTCCTGGCTCTGCTCCTATTGCTCCTTCTCTTTTTCTTCCTTTTTTTTTCTTTTCCCCTGTGGCACTGTCAGAAGCTGACACCTCCAAAGCAGGCAGAGCACAGTGCCACAGCATGCCCACCCTCCTGCTGCACAGAAAACCTTCCTTACAGAAAAGGTTGTTAAGCACTGGAATAGGCTCCCCAGGGAAGTGGTTGAGTCACCAGCTCTGGACGTGGCGCTCAGGGACATGATTTAGCAGAGGGTTGGTAGAGTTGGGGTAGGATGGTTGGGTTGTGGTTGGGCTCAATGGTCTTTAAGGTCTTTTGGAACCTGAGTGGTTTTTTACAACACTTCAATGCTGGAGAGGAGTCGTGTGTGAGGCCAGAAATGCAAAAACATCCCCAAGAAGACAGGAGGGGACCACTATAGATGTAAAATATTTTTATTTGTAAATGCTGATCTTCTAAATCTGTTTCCACAAATTCCAAAACCCATAACACTCTGTATACTTCAAAAAATTCTTTTTTTTTTTTTTTTTTTGTGATGTTTTTCTTTTTTTGCCAACATTAGATACTATTATACAGAACAGAAAAAAAACTGTAGGACAAATACTGGTAGGATGTCGGAATATTGTACAAGAGAAGAAAAATATTCAAGAAACAATTTCATACAGCTATTTATCAAGAGAAAAATATATACAATTGATTTATTCTGTAAGATAAAAATACATCATGCCATATACATTACAAGTTCAGAACTGTAGCACTGAATATACCAACAGTTTACAGTCCACTTTCATTGTGCACACAAAAAAACTTCATTTTTTTTTATATTTAGTCTGTGAAGTGTCAGTACCAGAATTTTAAGTACAAAATAAAAAGCTAACCTGCTTCCAAATGCTGATTAAATCTCTACAAGCAAACACAAAACAGTGTTTTATTTTTTTTTTTTATTTTAAAGAAATGTAAACAAAAACAATCCATACAAACACATCTTTAAATTACATTTCCCATAACCCAATTGCCAGCGTCCTGCAGCTGCACGCGCTCCATCTCAGCTCTGTTCTCCTTTTCCTGGGTGAAGGCAGCGGACCGGAGCTCCCCCTGTGCTCCTACGCTGTTCTCATGTTCAGCTCCCCCTCCTCGGGCCCATTTTTGCTGAAGGAAAACCCAATGCTCAGCGCCTCTCTCTTGATTTTGGGTGGTTTGAGCAGTTATTCACAGTTATCACCAATTTTAAGCACAAAAACAAACAAAAAGAAAAGAAACCTGACTGAAGAAATAGGGATGCGACAATATAATGCAAATCGGATGAATCTACGTCACCCCACCATCTGTGAAAGTCAGCATCGGAACATGCGGCGCGGGCTGAAGGTGTGAGTAAAAAATCTGCAGAGACCACAGTTGAGACTGCTTGAAACGTTTAAAAAGAAAACCAACCACCAACAGCCTCTCTCGAAATGGAGATTTTGGTGATTCCGTCATTGTAAGCACGTCTGGTAGCACTGAGATCATATTGTAACATCCCTATTGACATTGGATCGTGAGCACCGAACTGCTGCGGAGTCTGATAGCATTTGGTCAATAACTATTTTTATACTGTATTTTTTTTTCCTCAAAATATTTACACTTTTGTACAAAGTAACAGAGTTTGTTAGTTCTGCAGGTAACAGCAGCAGCTTGGCTTTCTTCTAACTTTCTTTTTAAAAATAGCTTCATTCACTTATTCAATAATAAATACAAAAAGGTTCTCTTATTTTACAGAAATCAAAAAACTACAATAAACTGACTCATGGAATCAAGTATTTAAATGTATTTTAGTGCAAGTTATTTTTCCCTTAGCTCTATCCCTAAGGAAGTCGTTTCAGTACATTCCTTGTTCAGTGGTGTCTACTTTTATTTAAAATTTTTCTTTAATTAGAGGGCCTGCCCCTTTATCAAATAAGGCTGTGGCCAGCACTTTGGACTTCTCCCTTTCGCTGGTGATTTCAGTCTTACATTCATAAATGCCCACCTGCACGCCGCAGGTCAGCGCCCGGTTCTTTGCCCAAGTTAAACAGTTTCTCCTTAGTGAGCTCAAAAACAAAAGTGCTGGACCATTCTGTTAACTC